GCGTCGGCAGGACCGGACGCGAATGGGTGGCAATGGCAAAAGATATGTTCACTCCTGGATTGGCAAAGCGTGCAGGTGATCTGAGCTGGATGGAAGTACAGCATCCGCGAAAAGGTTGTAAAAATATTTGTGGCAAAAAGTCCCCTTTTTACCAAGTTTACATATTTAGTTCCAAGTGAATGCTTTCTTGTCACATTTTAGACAAGTTTTGAACAACTACTATTCGTTGTAAAGAATTTTCTAAAAGGTTACTAGGATTAAAATCGCCATGTTCGTACCATGAAGACTTTCTCTTTTTTGTGCAAGTTAATTTCATTGGTGGAAGTGGGGATGAAATAAGTCCAAAAACAATTGGACCTTTGTTTAAATGCTTTTTGATGCTTTACAGAGTTCCACGGACATAAAACCATGTATTTAAATTTATTCCATGGTTGAGCACATTTCCAAAAAAGTCCACCCAGGATTTTCCTGGGGCGAGGGAGCGGAGGGGCGCCCTACCTCCGCCACTGACCATCCCGTCAACGTCTCTGTGATGATGTAACTCTGACCGGGATCGAGCCACTGAACAACAAATTAGGGAATCACCAAGGCAACCAAATGGACCTCGGAGACGAGGCATGGATGGACGGGAAGCTTGTTCTTGCCCGGCCAGGAATCCATATGCCAGAGTGATGGATGTGGCTGCTCCGCTATCTACTCAACCGCCGCCTCACTTTCTCCCACCCAAGGAAATTTCAGACTTTCCACGGAATCTCCTCGCTCTCTCATCATTTCAGCCCTTCCACGCTCCCTCCTTATTTCTGGAGGTCGAGGAAACCAAAACGGAGCAACTTCTTGTGTTCCCCTAATACCACCACCACCACCACCACATGTAATAAAAGAGAAACTGAGAACAAGTCAAATTTGATCCGCCTTTATCTTGTTAAACTTTTCGGAAAGTAATACAAACAACGGGAACAACATGCGAGTTTGGGAGAGATGAAGATCATCATCACCATCATCGTCATAGCAATGACGTCTTTGCGAAAAAGAGGCCACTTTTGCTCCAGAGATACCCAGGACGTGGGGAGGTGTGCATGGCGAGCGTCACTTTCCCCTTGGCCGGATGGGGTGACTTTGGGGCCAGAATTGGCGACATCCCTTCGGCACGACGTCCCTTTTTCTCCTCTGGTGTGATAAATATTGAGGAAATCTTCCCCATCGGTGAATCTGAGACCTTTATTTATTTCTCCGCCGTGCTATGCGAGGACCGGACTTGCTTTCACTTTTGCTCAATGCACCACCGGATTTCGAGACAAAGATGTATTGACATGGGCAGATTTTTTGATTTGGCCATTTTTTTGGAGGGTTTTTCTTGGGAAAAAGAGCCAAGTGTGGCTACCAGATGGTTCTTTTGGGAGAGGAATTAAATGGACGAGACAGGGTTACTCAAAGGTTTCCAGAAATTCAACTTACAGAGTTTTGGGGGATGACGTGAAGGTTGGAAAAATTGGACTTCCAATTGTGACAAAAGTTAAAAATTAGTCTTTCGATCGACCAAAAAATGAGTTTGCAAAAAACGTGCAAAACAGTTTTACGCCAAGTTATTGTTACAATGTTGGATATCACTGATATCATATCAGATTAATATTCTCAATTTATGTAGTAGTTTAAAAAAATTCGATTTAAGACTGAAATGTAATTTTGAAGTTTCTAGAAAATTGCGTAATAAATTGTATTTCACATGTGAAATACAATGGGTGGAAATCCCGTTTGGACGGAACCTTGGCTGGGCTGGATGGATCAAGCGAGGGACCCAAAAGACGGTTTCCTTCCAACCCGTGGTCTTTATCAGGTTGCACATTTATGTTTGGCGACAAGAGCTGCCCGATGCGTGGCCCCCTTCGGAGAGAAGAAGTGCCTTTGTGTGTCCATCCATTGCTCAGCTTGTCCACTTTCCCCAAGACCTTTCACAATGTCGCAGTTGGGCGGATATCGAGACGACAATGAAGTGAGCGTGCCATGTGGAAAAACCAGGAAGAGGTTGCACAATCAAAAGAAACACACACATTTTCATGGGAAGGCCGACCCAGGAATCTACCAGTTGAGTGGCCATATTCCTCTCGTGAACGCAAACAATTGCCATTTCAGGTGTTGCCAATACCATCGTGGTAACAGTTCAGTGGTGGTCGCTGTACTTTAGGTCATACACTGTGACTCGTATTACGCATGTAGGAGCATAGGAAGAATAGGCATATTCGACAGTGCTTTATTTTGGCTTGGGACCCGCATGAATTATTTTAAGGTCTCATTCGACTTGAAGCCCCGCACGTCCAAAATTTGGCCGTGGAGCGAAAGAGAGTGGAAACACGAAGCTCAAGCTGAGATTCCCTCCAGGACGACGACGAGATGGTCAAAGTGCCTGCCGTGGGTGGCGACTTGCTCGTCGACCAGAGTGGGAATTTTTGCATCACCGAACTCGGTGCCATTTTTACTGGAAGCGTTAATCACTTAGAATACTTGGCCCCTTTAAAGAAGATTTCATTATAATAGAAATACAGAATATCCAAATTAATATATTATTTAAACAATTTGGTAGTTCACGATTGTTAAACCATGATATTTCATCTCAGTTCATTTAGCACCTTTCTCGTACATGTGTCTACATACGTCATGTGTGTAACATAAAAACGCCCTGAATTCTCAAATTAAGATTTAAGAATTCATGCATATGCAAAGCAAAATTCATAATACTTCCAGCAAAAATGGTACCGAGAGCAGTGATGCAAAAAATTCTGCAATCTAATTTTATTTGTGATTGCACTGCCTCACTAAAATTTCCCATTTTTTGGGACCTTGTGTATTTAAAATTTGTAATTGGGTTGTCAATGTCAACGACATTATTGCATTGCACCACCGCCAGTATATTTGCATTCAGAATAATTATACTAAATTATTAACGTCGTCATTTCTTAACCGATTTCGGTCAGCTCTGTCTTAAAATTGTCAGAATGTTTTTGCAATTACTTTGGATCATGTGATGCTCCAAAATGAGATATTAGAGACAAACGTGCCTGCGAGTGCAATTTTGTGTCCCTTCTCGCTCATAACTTGAGTAAAAATCAAGATTTCTCGTAGTCGAACCCGAAATCGTATTCACATCCCCTGAAGATGATATGTGAAAAATTTCATTGAAATCGGTTGAGAAATGGTCGAGAAGTAGAATTATTTCACTTTTTGGGGGTGGAGTAAATGCACACTTTGTAAATTTTTTTCCTTGTTAGGTATTTGCCTCACTAAGAAAAAATTACATATCAAATGAAATGCAGATGATATTTCAGGGTTCCAGAAATGTGATTTAGAATCATTTTACGGGAATTTTCTAAATGTATTACACAGTTTTGTTGTAAGTGAGGAGCCGTAAGAATCCCATCGAAACTGGTGTCACTGGCTGGAACGGTGGGCCAGTGAGCCTGCTCTACATGGCATCCCAACACATGATTGGCAACAGTTGAGTTGTTGTTGTGTAGTCCCGTTCGGAAAATGAATCACGCCTCGATGCCCACCTTTTCCATCATGTTAATTCACAAGACCGTGAAAATTTCCGCCTTTCTCTCCTGCAAAAATAGCTCGACCTCCTCCTACCAAACTTCCACACAACTTTTACTCACAGCCTGCCTCGTACGGATGCTCACCAGCCGCTCCAGTCTCAGCCTCATTCACATGCCAGCTACCTGGCCACATGCAAGAGATGCAAAGCTCCCCAACTTTTTTCGCCACCCTCCCGTCTTGTCCCAATGCCCCCACGGGTCCGCGGCCCCTGCTGCCTCCACAACTACCGACGGAGAGACGGAGAGAGCAAGAGAGAGAGAGAGAGATAGGAAGTGAAATTAAGGTAAACTAACCCATCCAACTTTTATAGTTTATTGGCCCATTCGTGACAAAAGTTTGTCCATGTTTTCCTCCATTGGAGGAGGAGGCTGCCTAGGTGTGAAGGACGAGAGCATGCCACATCCCGTGGACAAACGGAACGACAACCTCATCACACATGGTCACCTACGTGGTGAGGAAGGAGAGAGAAAATAAAGCACACTGCGGCAAACTAATTCTTCCCATATTTGTCACACCCACGTCTATTTATCAATTTGATAAAGTCAGAATACACATTTGCACGCGATTTGGCCACCATCATGTCAAGAACTATAAAACCAGAGGGGGTCCGCGCAGGTGGGATGTGGGCTCTTTCCCACCTCTTTCCCACCTTGGCAAGGAGGAGAGGCCCACGTCCTTCACGCAGCGCCACCCTCATCGAGATTTGTACACGGCATGGACTTTGGTGGATTAATCTCTATTTATCAACCCACCGACCGACGGACGGACGGACGGACGGACGGACCGGCCGACCAACGTAACTGGAGGATAGTGTGCATTAGGAGAGTGGTTGTGGTCACGCGGCCCTCCCCGCAATGGGGAAAAATGTCAGGCAAGGTTGCATTATGCTGGGTGGATGCAAATGAGGAGGGAGAGAGTAATTTTCCTCCTTGGCTCACCTCCCGCATGCCAAGGAAAGGGGGCACATTTACGGATATTGCTTCTTATTGCATACGTGGCGACCCTGCGTTGCTCGTGTGGCAGGGGGAGCGGGATGTGATTTCCCAACTCCTTATTTCCACCAAGCATGCCACGCTGGGCAACAAAGTTTGATTTCAAATGAGATTTCGTCTGGGCTTTAATGTTTTATCCGCAGTGCTTTCCTCGTGGCTGTGGCCAGACGGAGGCGATTTCGTACTCGTGGCACGACGGGGAAAGCAATATATGTGTCAACAAGTAAGATTTGACCCAGTTGTTTCCTAATCTCGTGTGTTGCCTCACTTTCTCTGGTGAGACAAAGGCACGAGCTTGCCATGCAGAAATTATTGCAGAAATGCTCTCTTGATTTGAATGGATGGGAGCGAAGCTGGAACCGGAAGTCGTAAAGTGCGAGAAATGCTGGAGGAAATGCCAGCTTTTTGTCAACTTACCCCAGCGTCGTCATGGTGACGATGGTGTACCAAAAGGCTGCCGGAATGGAAGTGAAGTTGGTGTCGTCGACGTTTTTCTCTGCGTAGAACATCACCGTGGCGAAGATGATGATGGCCATGGCCAAGGAGAAGACGAGAAAGCCCAGCTCTGACGCACAGGATTTGAGCGTGTACCCCAAAATGCGGAGGCCTTGGGAATGCCGGGAGAACTTGAAGATTCGAAACACCCTGAAAACCCTGAGGGTGACGAAGGCCCCCGACACGTCGTCATTGTCCGTGATCCCCAGCCCGATGTAGTACGGCAGGATGGCCACCACGTCGATGATGCTCATCACGCTCCGCACGAATTTGCACCGGTCGGGGGCGGCGAAGAGGCGGAGGAGGTACTCCGCCGTGAAGATCATCACACAGGCCGTGTCCATGCAGAAAAAGACCGTCTTGTAGCGCTCCCCACAGGACAGCGTTCTCCCCTTGGCGGGCAGATTCCCACAGGGCACCGTCTCCACCACGTTCGCCATCACGGACACCGCGATGAAGAAGCCCGTCACGTAGTAGAAGACGAGCGCGGCGGTGGAGGTGTGCGGGTTTTCGAAGGCGCGCCACATCCGCTGCCGGATATTGGTCAACTGCTGGAGGGCTTGGTCACCATTTTCCGAGAGCTTGTCGTCCAAGAGGCGCTCGGCATTTTCCCTCTTGCGGTCCCGATAGTCCTCGTAGCAGCAGTCGCCAATGACGTCGGGGAGGATGCCGAAAAAGGCGAGCTCCTCGTCGTAGGACGTGAGACACTCGTGCTTCGGGTAGTGCAGCTTCCCCGTCCGGTAGTAGTTCAAAATGTGGCGGAAAATGTCGGGGTCGCGGTCGAAAAAGTACTCGCGCGTGTCCTCATCGTAGAAAAAGTCCCGTTCCGAAGAACCCAAAAGAGTGTCAGGATACTTCTCCAAAGTGTTGCGCCAAGTTTCAAACTTTCTCCCCGAGACGTTGATGAGGAGCTTTTCGTCATCTGCTTTCCTCCGATCTTTCGTGACGGGGGGCGGTGGGAGTGGGTGTGTCGCGATGGGCACCCACCCGATGGCTGCCGCCCGCGCGAACGGCAACCAAGCCGCGACCGAGGCCATTCCTTGGGGAGGAATGTTGAACAAGTAGTTTTATCAGGACGACGACGGGTGGCAGTTTTTTTGTATTTTAGACACACACTTTTCACGGCCTTATCAAGCACCACCACCACCACGGATGATAAGCACCAACACCACCCTGTTCATCCATCCCCCACTGAGACATGGTCAAGTCAGAGGGCTACATTCCCCCTGCAAGGGTCAAGGGTGCTCTCTCAAGTTGCCTCCTCCTCCCACACCCAGCCTTCCTCCCAGTCTCCAACTCTTCTCACTCTTGTGACCACAAGGAAACCTCCTTTTCCTCAGTCAGCCCAGTAGTCGCGAATCCGAGGACAATGTGCCATTACTGACAATTTGCACAATTTGCACTGTTGGGGTGGCTGAGTTCAGCACCGCACCCTGCTGCACTACTGCCACCACTGCCACCCCCACTGCCACCACAGCTGGACCACATTGATGACCTCCCCCGCCGTCTCACACGCACGTTTTCTCTTGAAAAGTCCTTTCCTGTGGAAAATGTGCACGGGGAGGAGGAGGAGAAGCGAAGAGTGTGTATTTGACTTGGTATTCCTCTCCTCTCTCTCTGCCTTCGAGTGGGCCGTGAGTCTCGAGCAGTGTATTTTTACAACGACGGCTTTTTTTGGGAGACGAGACGACGAGAGCTGAGATGATGAGAACGAGACGACGGAGACGACGACGACGACGGTGAGGCGAGTGAGCTTGCCAGGAAACAACTAGGACGTGCAGCCAGCTCTCTCTCCTCCGTCCGAATTCTCGGAGCTACACACTTTCCTCCATCCTCCTCGCGCATTCCTCCCGACCCACCAGTCCAATCAGTCCCACCATGCAGTGCAAATCCTGCTCACCCAAAAAACCTAGCACGAGAGACGTGCGCCTTGCAGAGGGAAAACCACGTCTTCGGCCTCTACGTCTCACTTTCCCCCACCACTTTCTCCCAGCCTCCCCCCCTCCACACCTTCCAACGCAGGCCGAGGAGGTCAAAATTGGCATGAGTCGTGCGGGGGAAGGGAGGGGGAGAAAATACTTGTTGAGTTTTCCCCTACCTGGACCAACGACTTTCTCCCCGATCCTTCGGGGAGAAAGTCGAGATGAAATTTGATGTTTTTTAATTAGGGAGATGAATTGGAGGTGATTTTGGTGGGAATGATGAAGATGGATTGGTCCGTGAAGGGGGCATTTATCGCGTGGAGGGAAAACCTTGGGGGAGCCATTGTCTGGGCGTAATCGTGACGGAGGGAGAACAATGCCTGCGCGTAATTCATCTCGGGTCAAGTTTGTTTGAACCGTGATCGTAATAATCGTGATGATCGTTTAAAAGAAGCAGGCGAACAAAGGAGACAAAAGGAGGAGAAGGCAAAGGGGAAAGTTATTAATGTGGGCAAGAAATGTGACGTAAGGTTTATTACGGGGACGAATGGGGAAGGGTTCCAAATACATACTCCGGGCTTTTCAGGGTTTTTAGCCCCATTTTAGTGCTTCTCCAGAACTACGCTAATGGAATGAATCTCAAATTACGACTCCTTAAAAACACGCTTGCCAAACGAGCTCTGAAAAAGACTGTGTACAGAAGTGCAAAGAAGTGAAGGATCCGAAGAGTGAAAGTACAAATATGAAAAACGTCGCCTTTCTTTCCTAACCTTTGACCCGTATTCTGTTCCTCTTTCTAGAATGACCACCTAACGTGCGCCTAACTATGATGCCAGGAAGGACTGTCTCCCCCACCAATGGTTGAACCCGTGACCCCGTGTGTGAGTGAGCTGGTGGTGCTGGTGGGCTTGAATTAGGTGGGTGAAAGCAGAGGTTGTTGTTGGCCTGGCCACCACCACCAGCAGCTAATCGACCAGACCACTTGTGCTTTTAGCCGTGGCTGGGAAGAGGTGATTTCTCATTGTCTTCTTGTCCCCGTCTTAATGGAAGTGAAAGTAGGATCCGGCCCAACTTTCTCTCCCCACGTTCGCACGGTCCGTTAAGTTCTTCCCCGCGCAGATTAGTGGTGGCAGTCCACTCGCGAGAAGTCTACATTATTACCCGCACCAATGGCACGGGGCAGGTCATGGTTTCCTTCCCGAGCTGTTGCTCTCACACAAACTTGCGATGCCCAACAAATTGACAAACTTCTCCAAAGGAGTGAAAGTGAGCTCAAATTCCACCCATTTTTTCCCACCCCACAAATAATACGTACTCACAAATAATACTCACTCATTTACGTCGGACAGCCTGGGTTCAAGGATGAGGCGCGTATTTGTGCAGACTAAAACTACGTCAAACTACGTGACACTGGGACCAAGTGTTCACAAATCTGTTGCATTTGAAAAATAGAAATTGGACACGAAATTCAAGCTTCCAGTGAAAAATGGCGTGGAAGAGAATCCAAATAATTTCAAGCGCTATTCTTTCTTACCCTTAACTCGGGAACGGATCGTTACCGTTTCAATTTTGCGAGGACATTATTTTGGTTGGGAATTGATGTCCACGAATCCCCACAGTTTGCCACGTCCTCCTGGTGCCTGGTTTGGGAAAGGTTAAGACGGAGTTTAATGGGCTAGTTGTTTGGGGGTCTGGTCTAGTGGGTTAAGTGGGCAAAGATCATAATTCTTCCCACGTGGCCTTGACGCGTAGGTATGTGCTCTCCCACCAAACGAGACCTGACGACCAGAAGGCCGAAATCCTGCCCATTTGTCATTTGGAACAAGTCAAAATAAATAAATGGTGGATGCACCTCGTCCAAATCATCCCACAATTCAATAATATTCAATCAGCACGGTCCGTGGGATTCTTCCCTGCCTCCTCGTCCCGTGAGGCTCCTGCTCTTTCAAACAAAATAAAATAAAACGTGTTTACTTTAAAAAACGGGGAGAAAAAAACGAGTGAAGAAAACACGAGTGACGTTTGCCTTTCTTGAAGACGGACAAATACCAGACCAGTCGTTTTAAAAAGTGAAGGAGGAGTGGAACTTTGTGGTGGTGGAGGAGAATGCAACTCTTTTTTAGAGGGATGTGCGGAAGGGGTGTGACCCCTTTTTCCTTGGGGGAAGAAGCTGACCCCCTGGATGGGGATGGAGGAGAAAGGGTGGGACTGGGGGACATTCCATGTGCAGGGGGCTTTTGGATGTAGTGGCAACCTCACCACGCACGGAGCCAGTCTTGGTTTAGCACGCCGTTCAAGTGCAATGAGTCGAGTTAAGAAAATGTTTACAATACTTTTGTAAATGTTTGAAAGTATGGCGAGGATGTAAATGTGCAAAAATTATTGGGTGCGGGATTGACTGGATGGGAATGCGGATCGTGGTTACAGAGGGTGCGACCCCCTGAATGGAACGGACGTGGAGAACGGAAGTGTAGAAAAGTCTAGGGAAGTGACAATTCGGTAGTCACGAGTGTGTGCTTTCTAATGAAAATTAGTGCAGTATGATGAGTAAATTTCTGTTTGATTAGCGTACAAAGGAACTTGTAGCAGAAAAAGTATTAAATTTCCGAAACTTTCTCATTTATAAGACACGGACAATCTGCATGAAAAGTGAGCCAGGAAATATTATGCCAATGATTGAGCACCCTCTGCATGCTGCCGATCCGGATTTCAAAGAGATTGGAACGCCCCTTGTATAGGGAGCAGCTGGTTAAGGATGATTTTGTTGACTTTATACCCCATGTCGCTCTCATCCTCGTCGTGGGGCTTAACTTTTACTCAACAAGACGACCACGAGAACGAGGGGTCGGGCAGAAAGGATGTCATGCATTTTGGTTAATCGTCAAATTGAATGTACAGAGGGTAACATCCATTTCATGGACCTGTGGTAGACAAGATTTGACAATCTTTGTTGTCATTTGAGTCCAGAAAACATTTACTAGCTTGACTTTTCTCTTCCGAATTTTTATAGCGTTTATAAGTAGAAATCTTGAGCCGGTAGGGGTAATTGTGTTCCGAGTGGGGAAAACCCACTCGAGTCGTGAGATGGGTGGGATTGCTATTGATTGAGTTAGGTTAAGAGACAGGTGACATGCTTCCTGCACAGCCCTAGAAAAGGAGGAAAGGAGTAGATCTCGAGCAAGTTATTCTCTCCTATCCATCCATCCATCTATCTCTTCACACCGTTTCCATGACTATTCCTCCTCCTCTGACGTCAACTTCCTTCTTCCTCAAACCTCACTCCTCTCAATCACTCATATCTCACCAACTGGGTCCCCCCTCAGCTCGGCCCTCTTGCAGACCCAGCATTGGACACCCAAACCACGACACTGGACATTTCAAAATTTTGAGATGGAGAGAGCAATTTTTGGGAAACTGGGCATCATAAAATTGTTGAGAAGGTATTAATCAGGCGACTTTTGTCCCTGTCTCCGCCGAGCTGTGGTTGGATCTTGATCGTCATCATTGGCTCCACTCTGACTGAGATGGTGCAATTATCCGTCCTGCTTTCTGGACTCACGGATCATTATGTAACACAGGGCGAGGAAATGTCAAGCCGTGGTGTGCTCACATGTCATCTCATCGACTCCACTGCGGCACGAGAGACTCTGGAGAATTTCGCACATTATTTTATCACGCTCAGAGATAGGACGATGGATGGATGCACATTGCTAATGTCACCACCAGACCAGACTCTGTCTAAAAAATGGACTTTTTTCCGAGGAAAACTAGGCGTTTCTTAATTTACTGTCTCCGCTGAAAAACAGTGTAGAAATTAAGGTGACATTACAGCAAGAAAGACGACGTGCACTCATTAATGCGGCGGCACGTGTTCCATTCGGAGGGAAAACAGGGTTTCAACTCTGATAATCGCACTTTGTGAGTAAGATGTGATTCTTTGATTGCCACACCTGCGGCTTCTTCGCCCACTGAGGTTTCTTCGATTTGTGATATTGCTGGGAGAAAGTGAAGCAACTTTAAAAGACGTTCTAGGACAAAACCAACTTGACGTTAGGATTCATTCAGCATGAAATTCTGAGCATTTTTCTGGACTTGAGTCGAATAGGACAAAGTTACATTTTGCATTTGACTTGTAGGTTAAAGATGCAAGTTGGAATGAAACCCCAAAACACATTTTTCACAGAAATCATAGAAATCACATTGGGATGAGGTTTGTGATGCCACTGTGATGTGATCTTCCAAAGCCTGGGAAAATTCAACAGCTATTATTTATGAATGGATGAGTGAATGGTTGTCCCGATAAGCAGGCTTATCGGACAATGTTGTGTGTTACTGTAGCATTTAACTCAAACAAGAAAATCAATGAGGTGGTAAGCTGGGCGAGGAGATATCAATAAATAGTTGCAAAATGTGTCATGGGGAGATTGAGTAAGCGCTCACCTGTCACCTCAGTGTGCACACACTTTGCACTCATTGTCCCAGCCGGGCGTGTTGTTCTTGAAGCTTGCCATCCTGCCAATAATAATCTCGACACATGTCCCAGTGTTTGGGACGAACTCCTTGTTTACAGCCAATTCATGGACAAATCCTGGTCCGCATATTGGCTGTTTTTGGATTCATGAGTTTCGTAATCATGACCACGGGCGAAATTGTGAAAATTTCAAAGGCTCATTACTGGAGGCTGCGAAAAGTGAGATGCCTCGGCCGTGTTGGGGCTAACAAATCGCATAAAATTGTTAGCCTGTTAACGACATTTATCCTTCCATTTCCACATTTGTTGCTTCGGCACAAAGTGAGGAAGCAGGATGACAAATGGGAAATGCACAAAGCTTTATTATATCTTAAATAAAAGAAAGAGC